ATTACACAAAAAATAAGGAATTTCAAATAGTTAATTTGATACTAATATCGATATATTTTTGTCAAATTTTTATGATATCTTCAAACATATATTTTATTTAAAAATAAAAATATCATTGTTTTCTCAAAATCACATAAAACCATATTATAACATCGACTGAGATAAAGAATAAAATAAAATATTAAAATCATGATGTATCTTGTTATATTGTGCGAGTACGTTTTTAATATATTAATAAATAATATTTTATACATAAAAATGATTTTTAAGAATTTTTTTTAAATGATAGTAAAGATACACATTTGTTAGAATCGGAGAAACATTGACAAGCACCTTTATGTAGCTGACGTGGCACATTTTGAATGGATGAACAAGATTACGCGAGATTTTGAAATGTAATGATAAGTGGCGCCGGTTGATGCAAAAACGACTCCACCTGCAACCACAACCATAACCGTTAACCACGGCGGAGCTCCAGTTAATGGCACTCTGTGTGTTCCCACAATCGAAATATGGCAGCCGTTATCACTTTTGCAGAACAACGATAACCCAACAACCGACCACAAAGTCCGCCATGACTGTCCGGATGAGTGGAGGAGGTGCAGCTGGTCGATTGGCGTCGTACGAAGAAGGGAATCTGGAAAGACCTAATTGGACGGGTCAAACGCCTCTTTCTCGCCTCGTTGGTGCCCTAATTTCGTTCAAACCTCTTTATTCTTTGCTCAAACTCGGCGCCAGACAAGTCCTCATCAGGTTAATACTAAATTCTGTTGCCATAGCTTAATTTCTTATCTTTGTATTAGTATTCTGGTGATAGAAATTTGATATAGGATTTATTATCAGTTTACTGCAATTTTTGGGTGATCAAACTGAATATTGTTTGAACAGTACGGCTGAGAAAAGCAATGTACCATGGCGAGCAATGACAAAAGAAATTTTGGAATCAGATGTTTATAAGGAAATGGAGACCATCCAGAATGCGGATATAGTATACCCTGACTGTAAATTTCTCTCCCATTCTTTTGAGTTCTGTTCTGTTCTGTTCTTTTCTTGTATTGAATTGAGTCATTTAGGTAAATGACTTAAATGAGTCTTTAATAAAATTCATGACCTCCTGGCTATATAAGGTTATATACTTCATGTGATTTTAATAGAACAAAATATTGATGTTGTTAGAGAATTACTATGCATATGAGCTAGTTACATACTGCAATTAGACCATTCCAGTCAGGCAATCACAATACCAAAAATACACCAAATTGGTGGGTTTTGATCTCCATATGCAGTTTCTCTCCCATCTCCAGAAAAATGGCGTTCTTTTTGCCTGCCGGTTGGATTTCCAAACTGGCAAAATGGTGTTTTACCCTACTGTTGGAGATGCACTCACAGAAGGGCCTGACGGATCTTTGAATCGCCATCAAGCCTATGCGCCATCAATTTATGACTCATTTTTTATCCTCAAAGATTTCTTGTTCCATCTTTCTTCCACTGTCCATAAGGATCTTTGAACTTTGCTTCTTCTGTATACCCCTTCGGTCCTTCCTTGTGTCTTATGTATGTGGAACAGCTTACTGCTCTAGAATCTTATGTATGTGGAACAGCTTACTGCTCGAGAAATACTCTTAAGATTCCAGTGCTCTCTATGGTTCCACATATTCTAACAGCTAGAATGATATAATTGTGTTCATAGCCGGTTCAGTAAATGGTACTCGACAAAACATTGGTTTTTATGATCACTATTGCTTTTTCAACAACCCAAGCTTACTACTTCAGGGAAGATTGAGTTAGGTTTAGCTTAATATATGCTACTCCTATGTCAACCAGGGTGTGATATATTTAGTAGTTCCTCTTTTGAAACAGATTATCTCAAGCCCTTCCATGCATATGATGAAGGCAACCTTTCTTGGCTGGTAAACGTTCTTTTATTCATCTGCTTATAGGACATATAATTTCTATTAAATTTGGAAAAATAAGATTTTATGCATCTTCTCTTCTAGTACTTATCTGGAAGGTAGTTGCATATCTTACTTCTAGCTTCAATACATTGAGAACGTATGTCTCTTGGGTTTCCCGTTTGTTGTGCAGGGTACTAGTATTGTCATTTGTTTCATGCTTTAAGTTTAAACAAGTATGAAGTTGTAGATGTATTTAGTGCTATGTGTTATGTTCCTATTTTAAGTGGTACAGTGATGTCTCGAAAGAGATTTGAACGCACAATTAGACTTGGAGAAAATGGAACACCGGAAAAGGTAAGAACAAGAACTTGTTGTCCCAGATTGGTGTGAAAATTAGACTGGGATTTAACATGACTGAATGAAAAAATGCAGTGTTTTTGTCCCACCAAAATTGGTGGAACAAAAATCAAGGAGATAATACATGATAGATAAATCACTAAACTCCATATTAAGTTAAAACTTTACACAATTATTTCACCCGCCTACCTCACTCTTTCTAGTCCAGTCCTGTTCAGTCCTATCCGCTTACCAAACACACCCGAAGGGTTGTAGGAATTCATTGATACCATTGGGCCAAAACCCACTTGGTAATTACGTTGTTTCTGAGCTGCTCCTTTTACTCCCAAGAAGAATTTATAGCAAGAACTTAACCAGGTTACATAGTATATTTCTGAACAATCTAAATCCTTAATAACCCTGTGTCTATTTAGGCTGCTGCAGAAGTTGAGGCAGCAACTATGTCAATGGTGAAACGGGCTATACCTGATGCTTCTTCAGTTGATGATGCAAATGAAATAGTTCGTGGAAACTGGCTTAATGCTATTGAGCAACATCATCAGCAATTTTCAGGGAACTTGAAAATCAGAGACATTCTTGACGTTGGATGTTCTGTAGGTGTGAGCACAAGATTTCTTGCTGATAAGTTCCCTTCTGCTAAACTGACTGTAAGTACATGCTTCTACTTCCTCCATCACAAGAATTGCAACACTTTATTTATTTATCTATGTTTGTTTTAAATAACCATAGCTTTTCGAGCACTTCAGACCCAAACCAAGTAGTCTACTTGATCCATGCAAAGCCCCTATTCCATGGACCTAACAAACTAAGGAATGGATATCATTTGTTGGATTCAAACCTGAGACCTCTTAAACCAATGTCCAGAACCTTACCCATTACCGTTGGCATTAAATTGCAACACTTTCTATCTAAGGATGTTCCTTTAGAATTGCAAAAAAAATTTGGGTAACCTTTTAAGTTTTAATTACCAGTTTGCCTCTTGTCATCATTACTTATTAATGTCATTGCTTATGGCATGAAGGGAGTATTTCTTATGGTAGTAAATCCATAGGGTTTGGGTGCAGTTTGCAGTGGTGTTTGTCGTGGTATGTTGCTTGCAGTATGTTAGATGTCTACTATTAATGTGAACATTACAATGATCGTCTTTTTTTTCATGTTGTGCAACAGGGTCTGGATCTATCACCATACTTTTTGGCTGTTGCTAAATACAAGGAGAAGAGAAATCCTCAGAGTTCAACTACATTCCAGTGGATACATGCAAATGGTGAATGCACAGGCTTGGATTCACAATCATTCGACATTGTTTCAATTGCCTATGTGGTATGTCTCGTTTGTTAACAAGTTATTTTAACCATGGGTGTCCGACCAGCTTACTCATACCTCAACTAATCCCATGGGGCATTGAAATTAACAGCAAGGAGAACATCCAATGGCCTTGAGGGGACTCGAATTAGTGACCAATGGGGAGAAAAATCAAGGCCTGACCATCTGAGCTACCCCTAAGGGTTGTTTGTTAACAAGTTAAACAGATGGAACAATGCACATCATATTTCTTGCAACACAAATGTGAAGTGGCAGTTGATAGGGGGTATGCTGCATGGTTATATTATAGTGAAATTAAGTATCAAAATAAATCATCAAACCAATTGGATGCAGTAACTGGAACAGAGCAATCTGCCCTGTCTATGTGAAACCTTGTTTGTTTTCTTTCAACTGTGGTATCTGGCACCTTTGTCCAACTACTCAAAAGCACTCCCTAGGCAAAGTTGCCTCTAGCGGAGTAGTACAATTGATTCTGGGATGGTATACTTGCACAAATAGGCGAGGTTCAAGTCTGGCTGCCAACAGTGTGGGAGTTACAATTTGGGCTCGGGCACTAGGCTCTCAAGCCAGCCACCTAGCGGGCCACTATTTACATGATTGCCTCTCACACGATGTTCTTGGAATGGGCTGGTGTGGACCACCTCGGGGGTTGCCGCATGCAAACCCTTTTGCACAAACTATGCAAAGTTTAGGCCCTTCTGGCAACGAGTGTAGCCCCAACCAATAGCATTTTTATCATGTACTGCATTACACATTGCTTAATGACTAGTACATTGTACTGTCATTAGGCCCGGATGATCGTCCCTGACTTCCATACAATATATCTCTGATCCGCAACTCTTTGCAGTTTCACGAATGCCCAGCAACGGCTACAATAAATTTGGTAAAGGAAGCATTTCGGCTGCTTCGTCCTGGAGGAACTTTTGTTGCGACTGATAACTCGGTAATTGCCCTCTCCTATGTATCTTTGTGTTCTAACATACCATCATGCCATCAAAATCTAACAGTATAATATGATCTCCTCTGCAGCCAAAGTCCAAGAAACTTCAGGTACAATGCTTTTGATGCTTTATTTTGGCTAAACTTTTGATGTAATATCAATACTTATGTTAATACATGTTGGAACCTCCATTCTCTCTTTAAGGGCTCTTTTAGAAAGTAATCTAATGGGGCTTCATATATACTTTCACATGGTAACAGAGCAAATTTGTTCTCGAATTTTGGAAGAAAGAAAAAGGGACGGAAAAGAATGGAAAGGAAAAAAAATATTTTATTTGTCTCTTGAAGGGAAGGGAAGAGAGAAAAGAATGAGAAGAAAAAAAATCATGTACATGAAGTAGAGAGAGAAAGGAAAGGAAAATATGTCACTTTTACAAATATATCCTTTGTATTTGTTTTTATCAACTTATTCTTATTTTTATATTAGGATATTTTTGTCATACCAATTTTTCGAAGTTTCTTTCCTTACCTTTCTTCCCACATTTGGTGTAAACATATCATTTATTTTCCCTCCTATTCCTTTCCTTTCCTTTCCCTCCTCAAAAGTTTCAAGAACACATGCTTTCATTGTTTTCCCTCCTTTCCTTCACTCTCGTTTCCTTTCCTTCATAAACAAAAGTGTCAAGAGCACAGCATAAGGGATACCATCCGGGACATCTGTGCCCAGAACTCGACAATTTGAGACACCTGTGCCCATCTAGCCTTCGTTGGACCGGGCGTGTCAGAGTCCACATATTCTCACATCATTTTGCACGTTAATTATGCTAAAAAGCGTTCTCATTATTATGCATTTGATATGGTTATAGGAGTTGTCGCCTGTCCTGTTTACCTTAATGAAGAGCACCGAGCCTTTTCTGGATGAATACTATTTGCTTGATTTGGAAAAAGCTGTGAACGATGCTGGCTTCATCAATGTACAAACAAGACTCACGGATCCCAGGCATCGGACTCTGACTGCCACGGTGCCGTATTGACAACCCATTTTTTGTTATACCAAATACATATGAAGTTTTAGAATTTGTTAGATTTTATATTGTAAAGTTGGGATATAGAAGTGGGAGATTCAAACCTCACAAGAGCTGGTAAACCAGCATCTTGAGCAGTATTGATTAGAAGTATCTGGGATTTGTTAGTAAGTTAGAAAAATTATTGAAGGATAATGTCTATAAAAAACCAAATCAAATAAACCCAGTATATCCCGTCTATTGTTGGAGGTATAGACTGATATGCAGATATCTCCTCCGTGTTCCAGTGATAAAAAGATTGTTTTCGGAAAGAACCCTGCTAGCGATGAAGGAAAACGTCTATGCCAAAAGCATTTTAAGGATTTAAAAACCATATGAAGGTAGAAGTATATGTAACCCATGGTTTGATTGAGATCTACTTTTCTCTGAAAAATCAAAGTTATAATTAAGTCATCATTTTTACAGGTGGCCATCAATCTGTTAATGATCGATCCTGTAACCAGTTCGCTCTTTATGAAACATGAAGTAATTGGTTATGCCATAATCAGGGTCAGTCAGGTATATTAACACACACACACACACACATATATATATATATATATATATGGGGTTTCATGCTCTATTACGTCATCAATGTTATATATTCAGTTCAGTCAATGTATGAACAATGATGTCAAATGATCATGAACTTCGATGAATCTATCTTAAAAGCTATAGAAGTAACCATGTCGAAAGCTTGATTTTGACAAAGACGTTCGAAAAAATTGAGGTGATTGAACGTTTCCACCTTGATCGCATAAGATTTAGATTAATGTGATATTGTGATTACTCTAGGCTAACTAAAATCAAACACATCTACTATATCCCATCAAAGTGTAATGTTTGAAGAGTGTGATGTGTGAGATCAGGAGAGAATCCTGAAAAAATAAAGACCTAAAAATTCATTTAAACTATTAGATTGAGATGATCTAACAGATGAGATTAAAAAAGTGTTTAACAACCTTTTTCAAAATGTCACACCCCGTAAAGCGGAAACACGAGATGTAACAGGTAAGTGTGTCACAGCAACAGTTAATAAATAACACCATAAGTTTTACAAGATTACATCCATAACCAAGTTGGTGTTTGAATACTTCAAAACAAAGTTTACAAAATACACAAAATCATTGTTGTTACAAATATGCTCCAAAAACTTCACTTTTTTACTTATTTCCTGAAAAACATGAAACATATAACAACGTTAACTACAAGGAGTTGGTGAGTTCACAGGTTTTCATATGCACAAAACTATTTACAATGCATAAATCATTTCTTGCAAACTAATACATGAACTTGCACACGATAAATGTAAAATCTATAACGATGTTTAAAACTTGAGATGCTACTGAGTCTTTCCTGACCAATATGCCTCATTATTTTACGAACGACCATAAGTAGCCCGTATACTCACTTAGGTCCCACAGTTCGTAGCAGTACTAATTCAGCGGTGGTCCAAATTCCACATGATTAGACTAATAAAACGTAGATAATGTGCTGTGTGCACCCTTTCTGGGTGGAACTGTCAACACAATAGCGGCTATCCACAAATACCACGGCTCGGGGACATGCCCGAGTTAACAAGTAGCATTTACGGACGGAGACTTTATTTGGAAATATACTCTCAAGTACATCAATTTATCATTTATATCATAGTGCAAAACAGTCAATATTTCATGACATAAACAAATCTTGACTAAACAGTTCTTTATTCCAACAGTTTTATAAATAAACAGTATAGTTTGCATAACTTCATGCTTTTCCTCCAGTTTAAATAAACAAAAATCATTAAAAGTGGGGCCGTGAATACTCACTTAGTTTGCTGTTTTTGAATATCCAAGAGCTTGACAATGCTTGAAGCTCTAATCGTCCACCCTAGACTTTCCTAAACAGTCCAACATCCAGAAATTAGATCACCTATAGGTTCTTGATAAAGATAAAGTCAAATTATATCTTGTGTAATGCCAATGAGTTTTTATGAATTAAAGTTGATACTTATATTATTTGCTCTAAAAATAGTTCAGAAATTATACATTTTAAAAATCAAAGTCCTTTGCACATAAAACTGTCATTTGGACAGAATGTAAATTCTGTTTCTGTAATTTTGGTCTCACAAATCACTGTCAAAAGGAACTTTCCATAACTCTTTTTGAGTCCAAGTTTTATATCATCAATAGTAATGAGTTAAATAGATTTCTCCCGAATATCAAGAATTTTGGATGAGTTTAAGGCACTTATTATTACCCAACAACTTTGAGTGACACAGTCCCCAAGACAGATTGCACACTCTTCAAGTGACGGCCATTTGGGGGGGGTCTAAACTCATCATTTTTCAGTGATTTTAACTTTATTTTTAAGCTAACACATAAGGCTAACTTCCAGAAAAAGAATCACACATTTTCATTGAGTTTTGAAGGAGATATGACCGTTTTAAAATGCATGCAAGATTCTGTCAGCATTGCTCTTTTTGCACCAAAATCTTGTATCAAGAACTTGAAGGCTCAAAATGTAATATTTTTGAGTGAGACCAGTTTCATTAGAAATATAAGTCAGTAAAATAAGATTTAGAAAAAAAAACCATTTTGGAGGAATAACCAGAGAGATATGGTCGTCCAAAGTAGGTTTTACCTATTGTCAAGTGTGCTGTTGCACACTTATTTTGTTCTAAACATTTGAAGGTACAAAACTTCTTCATTTTACATGATTCCAGTTGGAAAAAAATCATAACTCATCAAAGTACGTTTTAGAAGAAAAATCAGAACATTTGGACTTTTATTTTGAAAGATTCAGTCGACACAAGTGCTAACATAATCTGTCAGTTTTCAAAATATATCTTTTAATGATTAAATTTCACATGCAATGTGGTTTTATCCTACTTTCTTAGAGTTCTAAGTTCGTGGATTATAGATTATCATCATTTTGAAGACATTTTCATGTATTTGATGTATAATCTCCCCTTTTGAATTCTCCAGAAAATTTAATTACAAAAATAAAGAAGAAGGTGTAGAAAATGAGAATCTTTGTTATTATACAAAGGTAAAATAACTAGTCTATTACCTTTTGCTTGAAATCTTGAATATTCTTCAAGATTGATAGATTTTTAATGTTGTTTTAAGATGAAATCGGCTGGAGGGGTATGGTTTAGAGAGAGAAAGGTTAGTGAGAGGAAAGGTTTATGCAAAATGAAGGTGAAAAATGGGAGTTTTCAAAGAATATGAAGTATTTATATGTGGGTTTAAAAAAAGAAAATGGGCTGGCCTTATCAGAGCCTAAGTCCATACTTGTTTATTTTTATTTTTATTAAAATGAGGCCCATTTAAAGTAAAACATAAATATAATTGTCAAATACTGATAAAATATCAGTATTAGGTCAAAATTCCAAATTTTTGTAAAATTATTTGGACATTCAAATAAAACTTTTTATAATTTAATTTGAACTTTTATAATATCAACTTTATTTTGTTTGAAGAATTTTAATGAATTTGGCATTACATAAGTTAACTTTATAAGTTACCCATCGAAATATGATTTTCTGAACTATATTTTTGGAACTAAGCCAGATGAATTCTAATCAACATGATTAGATCCTAATATAATTCTTAATTTAAAAAAAATCTTATAAGGTGCTAACCTGACGCCCAAAAATGACGGATGTCACACAAAAATTACAAATATTTACCCCTAAATTTTCAGTCGAAAATCATTGAAAACTATAAAAATTGGAGCGAAGCAAATTACATTAAAAAATGATCATTTTATTATCTTTAATTTGATATATTTTTTCCATCCATTTTTTCTTGGATCTTTTCCTTATATAACACACACACACACACACACACACACACACACATATATATATATATATATATATATGTGGGCTGGTTCAAATGTTAACCAAGTTTATTGTGTTAACTTTGTTAACCAATCTTGGTCATTGATCTTTGAAATTTGTGGTTAAGATCATTATTGACAAAGTGTAATTAATTGCACACATAGACAAGGTAACATAAGTGAACAATATTTAGAAGGGATATTTTGGAAAAATATTTCAGTTGTGCATTAATGACAATGAGATATTTTGTAACCGTCCATTAATGACAATGAAATGTTTTGTAACTGCCAATTAGTAACAATGTAATTATCCGGGATAGAAAATCACAAATTCATAAACATTAGAGATAGAAAATCAATATTAAAAAAATAACAAGTTAACACAAATCATGAGATTTTATGATTTTGAAACTCCTAATTAATGATATAAGAGTTACATAAAAAAGAAAATTACATATGTACCATTGTCATTAAATTCTAAAATGGATATGAACCTAATACTAAGATGTAGTATGATTGGTTGAAAATGGTTAACAAAGTTAACACAATAGTTTGGGTTAACATTTGAACCAAACTCTCTCTCTCTCTCTCTCTCTCTCTCTATATATATATATATATATATATATATATATATATTGAGAGGCCTAATCAAATGAGAACTATTTTGTATGTGGTAATCATGAGATCCAATTTCAACCATAAATCAAAGGTTAAATTAGGAAATTAATATTTTGGTAATTTTAACTTAAAATATTAATTAAGGGAATTTTAGGGATTTTATAAATATCCTCTCTCATCTCTCATCTTTCCTCTCTCCGGAGAACTTTATTCGGTAAACCTTATTCCGATGAACCTTATCTGAACACAAGATACACACTGTGATACTTACAAACGATATTCACTGTGATACCCATGTATACATACAAGATGCACAATGTGACACCCTTTGTAAAACAATGAAAATAACAAAAATGCACACTATGATACATTTCATAAAACAAAGAAAATACATTGTGATACATGCGAAACATTGTGAACGTTATCACTATGATACAATTTGATTCACAAACGTCTTTAAAATACGATGTATATTAGGTAATTGATATACTAAGTAACTAATTTTAATTAAATATTTTCTTCTACAAAACTTGATTAAATATTTTGATTTGTTGTCCAAATAGAATTATTATATTACATTTTTAGCTTATTTAAAAAATATCTTGAAATATCTCAAATGAGTGATTCACATTAGATCTCACGGTTAACACAAACTAATCAGTTTTTCTCATGAATAGACCGTTATATATTGATTTTTAGATATA